TGCCTATTCACCCAGGCCTCTCTTTTCCTGAAGAAACTGGGCTGGGCAGCCGACACAATAGGAATCCTCCCAATCCTCCCTTTCCTCCCTCCATTTGAGGCTAGGTGCTAAAAGGTATGTTAATTAAGCTTGAGAAACCAAGTTGCAGTCGTGAGATTCGAACCTGCGAAGTATGATGTAAAGTTGCCTGAATGTCTGCAAAAGTAAGATTGACAGCTGCACCTTGTCTTGTCTTGGTCCCTCCTAGCTTTGTGTAAAGTACCTCCCCTAAGTAAAAGGAAGGCGCAGAACGAATCCAGGTGCATTACGACTGGCAAGGCGTGCGTTACAGCATGCAGGGGGCACAGTCCAGCCTTGCAACCATACTGCCTGTTTAGCTAAGATGTTTACTATGCAGTATATTACGGCCTTCGTGGCTGAGATGTTTGCAATGCACCATCTGCCTGATGCCAGTCCAGCATTCACTCTGGTTTCGGAGTGTCTCTTTGTCTCTCTCTTTGCATCTCTGTGTCTCTTTTGCTATCTCTGTCGCCGCTGGATCTCCCCTCCTCGTGAACCAAACACTCGTGAACAACACAACTATGTCGAGGCAAGTCCCCGACACCAGCTGTAGGCCTTCCAGCCTTCTAAATATTCCTTTATATGTGGTTCAGATTCTGGGACCATCCCCTGAGGCTGCTTGGTCGGGTATTCTGTGTTGTTGCTGGTGGAGGTTCTTTACTGCACTTCCACCCAATCTGCCATCTTGTTTGTTCACTCCCTAAGTTTCTTGTCTGCTGTGCTTTTTTCCATACCACTTATAAATGACTTGATATACCAGTTCTATTTGTTTATGCATTTTATTTTTGGTCTATTGTCTGTCTTCCTTGAAATCCAGAGTAGGACATTTGTATATTTGTCTGTTTCGTTCATTGCAATTTCTCTAGCTCATAGATGAGTTTCTGGCAGGTAATTGTTGTTGTTAAGTGCCATCGAGTCAGTTATGACTCATAGTGACTGAGTTTCCGAGGAGCAGCTGGTGAATTTGAATTGCCATCTTTGCAGTTCAAACCAAGCTTGCGGTCCAGTGCTTATTCTGCAGTGCCACACCAGGACTCCCTGGCAGGTAATAGGTGTTCAATAAATATTGTTGAATGAGTTAATTTCCCCCCCTTTGGTTTTTCTTGTCATAAGGCTAAGAAAATCATAAAGTACTTAACAATGAATCAGGAAGATCTAGATCCAGATGGTACTATGGATGCGAATGATATTACAGATATTCACAAAGAGATATTTGAAGAATGTGATCAAATGTGGAACGATATGGAAGAAGTGAGTATCAAGAGATAAAAATCATGTCAGTTAGTTGATGTAGATTTAAATAAATTTCAGTAACAATTAAAAATAGGAAAGAAATAATTTTGCTGGCTTCTGATAGCAATTATATGATAAATTTATATTAGTCTTTCAAACCCACCAGTCATTCTTCAGCAACCCTGTATAGGGTTGCTACGAGTCGGAACCAACTCGTCAGCACTTAACAACAATCTTTAGATGTACACTACGTGAAAGAAAGAAAAAAAAATGATGGATATTATCAATTTACAAAGACAAATAACCATTATAGGAAAACAAGACTTAGAAGTATTGTGGTAGTGGTGAAAAATACTACTTAGGAGGGCTATCAAACATCAACAGACAAGTTCAAGATCTTTTCTAAAAGAGGTAATAATGGAATTCATTTCTAAAAGATGGATAGAAGTTAGCTTATTTGAGGGAGGCATACAAAGCAGAAAGAAGAAAATGTTTAAAAGTTGAGACAGATTAGAGAACTCTAGAAAATTATGCCTAATGTCAGTTGGGTAAAGGGGACTTGGGTAAGACTGGTGAAGTAACAAAGGCAAGAACATGGACAGTTTTCCTAAGTGGATACTATGGGGAGTATTAAAGGATTATAAGCAGGGAAGTGACATGATCAGATATGCAGTTTGTGAATATTAATCAGGTAGCTTTGAAACAAGTGGAATGCAGAAGAGTGAGACTAAATACAGAAAAATCATTTAGAAAGTTTTAGTCGTGATACGCAGTCCTGATGTAGCACTGTAGGATTAGCACTTGACTGCAGAGTCAGTTTGATCCACAACATCAGCCATTCAAACCACCAACTGCTCCTTGGAAACCCTATGTAGGGTTGCTATGAGTCGGAACTCACTCCAAGGCACTACACAACAACAACAGATAGTCTTAAAAATAGCCCTGGTGGCACTGTAGGTAAGCACTGGACTGTGAACTGCAAGGTAAGGTGGGCAGTTCAAATCCACTAGCCACTCTGTAGAAGAGACATGAGACTGTCTGCTGCCATAAAGATTTGCAGTCTCTGAAACCCTATGTAGCATCTATATGAGTTGGACTCGACTTGATGGCATTGAGTTTGGATTTTTTGAGTAGTCCTAAATGACTGCTAGAGCCGTGGTGGTATGGTGATTTAGGCACTGGTCTACTTACTGGTTCAAATCTACCAGAAGCTCTGAGGAAGAAAGATGAAGCTATCTACTACAGTCTCAAAACCCTATACAGGGTCACATGACTCAGGATTGACTCAGTGCCAGTGAGTGGTGGTGGTGGTATGCTGTGGAGTCGGTTCTGACTCATAACGACCCTGTATAGGCTTTCCAAGGCTGTAAATCTTTACGGGAGCAGAAAACCTCATCTTTCTTCTTCAGAACGGCTGGTAGTTTCGAACAGCTGACGTTAGAGGTTAGCAGCCCGACTCGTAATCTCTACGTTACCAGAGCACCTTGTGGCAGTAAGTAGTAGTCCTAAATGTTCTTTTTACTTTTAGTAGTATTTCTGAGAGAATCTGGTTAAGTGTTCAACTGCTAACCACTACCCCAAAATAAGCAGTTTGAACCTACCAGCCACTCCGTGGGAGGAAGATGTGGCAGCCTGTTTCTGTAAACTTTGTTGTTGTAAAGTACCATTGAGTCAGTTGTTACTCATAGCAAAACTGTATAGGGCTTTCGAGGAGCAACTGGTGGGTTTGACCCACAGACCCTGCAGTTCAAACCAACCTTATGATCCAGTGCTTATCCTACAGCACCACAACAGGACGTTACAGCCTTGGAAAACCTATAAGGAAGTTCCACTCTTTTCTGTAGGTTCACCATGAGTCAGAATTGATTGAATAACAATGGGTTTCAATTTCGTAGTAGTTCTAGTATGGAATAATGGAAATCTAAATAATACAACCGTGGAAACCATATACAGGGTTGTTATGAGTTGGTACCGACTCCATGGCATTTAACAACAATAATACTATCATTTCAAGTAGACAGAAGAATGGATTCAAGAGATATTAAGAAGATTTAGATACAAAATGGGAGCGAATTATTATGGATAGTTTCAAATTCCTGGTTTGAACCGTCTAGACAGTTGGTGATATTATTCCCTAAAAGAGAGCAAATACATAAGTCAAAAGAACACATCAGTAGGACTTTAGATGAAAGCATAAATTAATTTAGAAAATAATTGAGCTTGAAATATCTGTTGTTGTTTTTGTTAGGTGCCATAGAGTTGGTACCGAAATATCTGTACATGTTCTGAAATAATGAGCTAGCTAGAACCACTTTTGATGTACTATATTAGGAAAAATTTGTCTACTTAAAATAAATAATATATAATGTAATCCACAGACATTTTTAATATCCCATTCTTTATAGTACAGTTTCAGAATGGGGGAGTTACAGTCTTGTTTGTTTTTCTTCTTTTTAAAAATATAAAATACAAGTCCTTGAGACTTTGTGTCATTAATGTATTTTTAAGATGACTTGTATAAGCCCTTCTTTGTTTTCATTTTTGTTATTCATAATATAGACATTTGCATTTAAAAATGAATACAATTTTTTGGTAGAAAAATATAATAAGCACAAATAAAATTTAAATTACCCATATTTTTACTTTTCATATGGGATTTTTTTGATGGCACGTAAACAATGTCTCTTGAAGGCTTTTGTTTCTTATGAGCTTAGTTATCTTGTTACTGCTTTTCTAATATGGTACCTTCCCTCTTATTTTCTTGTCACCTATTTTTCCATTATTATTACAGCTTCTAATTCAACCTAATAGTTTTTGTTCTTTTTCCTGTTTCTTTATGCTCACTTTATTCTATCGTTGTTGTTAAGTGCCATCAAGTTGGTTTTGACTCATAGTGATCCTTTTTCCGAGATTCTGTATGTTTTTCAGGATCAGAAAGTATCACCTTTCTCCCACAAGGTGGCTTGTGGTTTGCAGTCCAGTGCTTATTGTACAGAACTACCGTGATCTCCACATAGGGTCTAGTGGCGTTGTGAGCTAATGTGTCAGACTGCAAAGTTGATTGAACTGCACATTCGGTGGTTCAAGCTCACCAACTGCTCCTTGGAAACCCTATGCAGGGTTGCTATGGGTCGGAATCTACTCGACAGCACTTAACAACAACAACTCCTTTTTTATTTTCATTTTTTAGATGTATTCACTTTGGGACATGTTTGTCTGCCTTCCTGATCCTTTCTTAGAAAATGAGCAATTTAAGAAAATTCTCTTATATAGGAGACCTCTGGTGGCTCAGTGATTAAGCACTGGGCTGCTAATTGAAAGGTCAACAGCTTGAATCTACTAGCTGCTTCATGGGGAGAAGATGTGGCAGTCTGCTTCCATAGAGCCTTGGGTCCCTATGAGTCAGAATCAACTTAATGAAAATTGGTTTTTATTGTATTGACTGGTTTAAAAGTATTGAGAAATTGTCAGTTCATGTAGTAAGTGACTTGTTTTTCTTTACTTTTTAAATCAGTGTCAGAATAGATTAATGCTTGTTGGAACGGAGACACTTACGGATTCAAATGCCCAGGTATGGATTGTTTCTCTTGTTTTCTTAAAAATGAGTAAGTGAAATTCATTGTGTTTTAGAAAAGAAGTGTGTCTGTCTATATGTTTTCCAAGTATAATTGCTTTTTTAATACCTATATGCTTAAGCTTGGTGTGGTACTGTAGGATAAGCTGTCAACTGCAAGGTCGATTTGAACCTCAAAGTCAGCAGTTCAAACTTACCTATACAGGGTCGCTATGAATTGGAACCGACTCAATGGCGCTTACCAACAACAATTTATTTATAGCAGGTTATGCAAAAAAGTCTTCAGAAGACCTCTTCTCACTCTTAAATCAGAAGGAGCACGAAAGTTTTTGAATGATTAAGCATATGTTGTTGCTAAGTGCCATCTAGCCGGTTCCGATTCATAAGGAACTTGCATAGGATTTCTGAGGAGCGGCTGGTGAGCTCGGACCGCCAACCTTGTGGTTAAAACTGACTTTGCAGTCCTGTGCATTAACCCACAGTGCCACACCAGGACTCCACTATAACCAAATAAGAAAATATTATTTTAAATTTGTATTTGAGAGTATATTTAACAACACGGTGAACTTCTCGTTGGCTCTTATGATACCTTGCTAAAAATTAGAACAAAGTCTATCCTACTTTTTGTTATAGTGGCTACCTATATTACTATCTGTGGAATCTTAATTAATTTCACCTTTGGCTTTTAAAAAACAGAATGAATATATTTAGTATCATAATCAGATCGTTATCAAATTGGTTCCGGCATCAAGATATCAATAAGTGAAACAGATTAAAATCTAAAATATGATTAGATGATGGATCAAACATATCAGAAAAGGATGAATTATTTATTAATTGATAATGGTACAACTAGATATCTATCTGAAAGAAAATAAAATTGGACTGCAGTCTTTCATGATGTACGTTATAAATTCCAGATGAATGAGTAAAAAGGATAGGAGACTGGATGTGCAGCCTGGAGACAGGGGAAATCTTTTTGCATAATTATAGAAATCCTGATATTGTGAAGAAAAGTTCCTATGAGATATATTTTACCATATGAGAATTTCAAAGCATTTAAATGATAAAGCGGAGTCCTGGGTGCTACTATAGAATGACAATTCACTGCTAACCACAACTTTGGTGGTTCAGACCCACCAGCTGCTCCTTGGAAACCCTATATAGGGTCACTATGAATCTGAACCAACACAAGAACAATTAACAACAGCAATAACGAAATAAAAAACATTCCAAGAACAAAGTGGGTATATAAATGATACCTATGCAAGTTCCCAAGGAGCTCTGGTAGCGCAGTGGTTTTGACTTAGGCTGCTAACCTCAAGATCAGCAGTTCGTAACTACCAGCTGTGAAGTGGGAGAAAGATGAGGCTTTCTGCTCCCGTAAAGATTTACAGCCTTGAAAAATACATCCTTCTCCAGTGACTGGTCCCTCCTGACAATATGTCTGAAGTATGAGAGATGAACTTTGGCCATCTTGGCCTCCAAGGAGCATTATGGCTGCACTTCTTCCAAAACAGATTTTTTGGTTCTTTTGGCAGCCATAGCACTTTCAATATTCTCCTCCAACAACATAACTCAAAAGCATCAATTCTTCTACGGTCTTCCTTATTTACTGTCCAGCTTTCGCATGAATATGAGGTTATTGAAAATACCATGGCTTGGGTCAGGCGCACCTTAGTTCTCAAGCTGACATCTTTGCTCTTCAACACTAAAATCTTGTGCAGCAGATATGCCTAATGAAATACATCATTTGATTTCATGACTGCTGCTTCCCTGAGTGTTGATAGTTGATCCAAGAATGAGTCCTTGAAAACTTCAGTCTTTTCTCCATTGATAAGAATGTTGTTTATTGGTCCAGTGGTGAGGATTTTTGTTTTCTTGACCTTCAGATGTAATCCATACCGAAGGCTGTGCTCTTTGATCTTCATCATTAAATGTTTTAAGTCCTCTTCACTTTCAGTAAGCAAGGTTGTATCATCTGCATATCGCAGGTTGTTACTGAGTCTTCCTCCAATCCTGATGCCATGTTTTTCTTCATAGAACCCA